CTGAGAGGGGACTGTGACAAAGTACACACCGTAATTACATTGGCTTTCAGGTCCAGGATACTTCCACACAAAACAAGATAATCCACCCCGTGCCCGAGAGATAATTGAGTTAGGAACTGTACTAAACTCAATTATCTCCAGGTACAGAAATGAAAAAAATATTTTACAATAACCCGAAAGTAACCCCAAAACACATGAAAACCCCACAAAAGTCATACCCCCTGATAGCCCCGATCTGGGGGACCAACATATCCAAAAATCACCCAAATCTATTCAGGGGTTCTGGATTTTCATGGAAGTCATAATTTTGACCAACCGTGCACATAGTCCTATGCCCAAAACAGTTCCAGGGAATCAGGGCTAACGGTCGGTCTCTCTTTCTGGAGTACAAAAGTACATAAATCATATGAACTGAGCCATTTTAAGTGCATTGGGCAGGGTATATTGCAGGGCCCATAGTCCTGAGGCAGGACGCTGGCAAGCAGGAGCCCGTGGCGAGGTTCTGTTCTCCACAATGGCACTTTATAGTACTCTGTTATTTTATTTCTTATGGAGCCACTGCACTGAGATAATGAGTCATTGTATTCAATAACCACGGACACAGATGTAGGATGCAAATTAGTTATATTGGATAAGAAAAAAAGAAAACACGAATTAAACTAAGATTTCACTATTTGAACACTTCAAGCAAGCTGTATTCAGTGACTGCAGTGTATATTGAAAGTTGTGGCAAATGTTACCTGCTCTACTAGACTTTTGGAGTAATTAAATGAAATAATTTATATCAGCCACAGATTAAAGGCATTAACCTCTTACAGAAATCAGTTGCATTAGAAAATTAGAATATATATATCAGAATTTACATAAAACACACATAGACATTTGAATTAGATCTTGTAAAACATAAAAGGAAACTGACACTTTCAAGGATTAAAATATATATTTTTTTTATTCTTTATTTTTGACATGCATAGGTACATTAAGGACATTTGCATAGTGTCAGGAAAATAATAAAGGCACATTGACACATTCCTCAAAGGACAATCACAATGCACATTGTTTTTTTGTTGTTTGTTTTTTTTTTGTTAGTTTTTTTTAGAAGAAAAAGTAAAGCACAGTCTTAGCAGATTGTAAGCGGTAGAAGTACATTGATCTAACATATGCACTGTGTGTTATGATAAAAACCAAAGAAAAAAGTTACCTGTGCTCTCTCCTTAATCCTTATGTATATTTAAACAAATGGAGGTCATTTAGTTACTCCAATGGCCACTATGGTGACAATAGTATTGTGATTAGTAAGATACAAGATGACTAACTAGGCTTTATTAAATGTGTCTAAGCGAACTAAGACTGAACACCTGTATGTGAGCAACCCTACAGGTCATCATAAAGGGAGATGAACTCCAGAGACATTATGCTTGGGTTGGAAATCCCAGGGGTGGGTGCATGGGTAATAGTCTCTGGGCAAAGCAAGGCAAGGCAGTCAATGCCCCTTCCTGAGGCAGAATCGCCAGGTGGTGCAGATGGGTACCACTTTCAGACGTACCAGAGAAACAACCTGCCAGGTGTAGACCAAGCGTACTCCAGTAGAGGCCCCTGTATTGCTTGGAGGTCAAAGCGAGGTGGGGGACGATCCCGGTGCTTCTCCTCAGCATCATGTTTTGATCGTATCCTCTGCCGGGTGCATATGCATCGAGCATGTTGAGGGTTCTCACTGCTGGCATAGCAGCTCTTCAAGGGAACCAGAGGGCTCCGTTACTGCCCAGAGAGGTTAGACTTCTTGTGCCACGTCGAGAGCTCCGGCGGGAGGGGGAGGGGGTAAGTAAGAGTGTGACTGTTCCTCTTGGTAGGATCAGCGCCTGTAAGCCTCTGGACATGATCCGCCTGTTGGTACAGTCGCTCCCAAAATGCTTCCCAAGTTTAGTGAAATGCTGCCTAAAAGCAAAGATTAGGCCTCAGATGCTTTACAGGGTCATGTTCTGGTACCATTCTGAAAACAGGAGTTAGACACATAGGTTTTTGCAGGGTGCTCCTAGGTCAGTGCCAGATAAAGGTAAGTAGGTGAGAGTGCCTGAACAACTGCCCGGCAGGGGGGAGAACAGGGCTGTGCACCGTGGATCAGACTAGAACGTGGGGTGTGGGATTGGCCACCCTTTTATTCAAGGGTATAATTTCAAGAGAAGTGATGGTTCCCCTTAAAGCTTAAAGGGACACTATAGTCAACAAAACAACTTTAGCTTAATGAAGCAGTTTTGGTATATAGATCATGCCCCTGCAGTCTCACTGCACACTTTCTACCATTTAGGAGTTAAATCACTTTGTTTATACAGCTCTAGTTACACCTCCCTGCATGTGACTTACAAAGCCTTCCTGTAAAGTGTCATCTAATGTGTATACTTCCTTTAGTGCAAATTATTTAGAATTTCTTATCTCCTGTTCTGTTAATAACGTGCAGGACCTCAATCTATGTAACTAAAGTTCAATTTACAGAGCAGGAGATACACACTTTTAAAGTAAGTAACATTTGATTGGAAAATTAAACCATTTATTTCATGCAGGCTGTGTCAGTCACAGACAGGGGAGGTGTAACTAGGGCTGCATAAACAGAAGAGTGATAGAGTGATTTAACTCCTAAATGGCAGAAAATTGATCAGTAAGACTGCAGGGGCATGATCTATACACCAAAACTGCCTTATTAAGCTAAAGTTGTTTTGGTGACTAAAGTGTCCCTTTAAGTTAGATGGGATTGATGACTTTTGACACTTTTTTTTATGTGACCACAGGAAAATGCTTTAAGATATTCAGTTCCGCATATGATAGAAATATAATGCATTTAGTCTAGATATACAAAGCACTTTGTAGCTGCTATGAAGAGAGTGTAGGGTTCCTTTTCCTTATTCTTAGCCCGCTTCTTCTTCTGTCTATGGCATATGCATCACATGACTCGTATGAGAACAGTGATTTCTCTGTCACTTCTATGCACAAAACTCTAAAAATTTGGATAGCTGTTAGCATCAACATTTATTCCTCCCTACGCATCTCTTTTCTCCGTTTGTCTCCATAATTAAGGATACTAGACATGTTCGGGAGAAAGAGACACAGTGTCTTTCCATAAACTCTCACATGGCATATGAGTAACAGGAGTAGACAATGTTGATAGCTACAAGCAGCGACTGTTGCCAAGTAGAGGGACTCTCCAGTGCTGCTGTAAGATTGATGTATGCCAATGCCATTGGTTACACCTTTATTGCACAAAGTGACATAACTACCCACTGTAAAATCAGGTAGGTCATCTAACATAAAGATGGATAGATATTTTGTAAAATATAAATTTTTTTGTATTCGTTTCATTTATTCAGATTGACTTCCCATTCTCATGTAAGTCGCCACCATGTATTTTTATACTTCATAAAGTCAACTATGCGTCTTTCACACACGGCAGTGAGGGACCTTCTGTTACTTTCTGTGTACATTGTAGAACAGACACTGGTAGTAACCTGGTGAGATCCATTGAATCCACATCTTTATAAAATATTGCAGGGTTTGTGTTTAAAGGCTTGCTTAGACTTTTTTCATTAACTGTATCCAATAAGTTATATTAACAAGTAATACAATTGTACCTAATAATAAATATGATAGATTGTGTTCAAAATGTATTCTTGTTGTAAAAAATATTTTTTTAAACTTATGTTACGGCGTGAAATAGAAAGAGAAAAAAAAAACTATTCAAAGATTTCTTTTGATCTTTAATGAAATTCATTGCTATGGAAACCTTAGCCAGTTAACACCTTCTGCTCACACAGAAATTTACATGTAGCATTATTATTTCTGTTGGAAACTAAATTAGCAATTATTCTCTTCACAATGACATCAAAGATAGCTACGCAGATAAAGTACACTGCATAAATAATTTGTGAATCTCACATAAACCTGTTTAAAATCATTTTGATGTCATGAGCTATTATATAAATTGAGGTGGAATATTCAGCTCTTCTTCTTGTGCGAAGTTTTTAGCACACCATCAAAATCACCATAAGTTTTTAGAAAGAAAAATAAACCGGAAAAACTTAGCAGATACATACAGCATTAAACCTTGATCTAAAGAGTATGTATTGATACTCCCCCAACCATTCCAATCCTTCCAAACTCTATGTTATTTATTAAATAGAACTGAAGAGGTAGTCACATCTGTCTGTCACTTACAATGATCAGACGATGAACAGTCTTCTGTAACCATAGTTTGAATTGAAAATATTTAGCTGCTTCTTCACTAATTTATACATTGATGACATGTCATTGGCAGATGCCAAACAGCATCTCCTCATACATTGCATTGAACCAATGCATCTCTATGTGGAAAGTTCAGTGTCTTCATGCAAAACGTGGAGACACTGGATGTCACTCACACTGTGCAGCACTGCCCCAGGAAGCACCTCTAGCTGCCATCTGAGTGGCCAGTGGAGGTATCCCTAGGCTGCAATCTAAACACTGCCTTTTCTCTGAAAAAACAGTGTGGTGACATTCTGTCACCCAACAAATATGGTGACCAGGGTCATGTGACTAAGCTGGTGTATGCCTTTCTTACAGGGTAAATAAACTTTACCCTTTGATATGGTAATTAGGTAATTCAATACCTTTACAAGTCAGGAAAGAGATAGCCACTTCCCCCTACCTCCATTCTCTCTGTTCCTTCTTGGTTGTGCTACTGGGCAGACATGGGCTAATTTTTATCATGGTGAACTGTGAGTGGGATCTGATGACGTTATAATCTTTAGTTATTGTTAGTTAGATTGTGGTTGTTGTTATTTTAATTAGATTGTGTGTCATTATTTGTATGTTGTTGTAGTTGTTTTGTCTCTGAATAAATATTTGTTAAAGTAGACGGACCAGAGTTTATATGTGTATACGTACATAATTTATATAGTTTGGTAATACACCGCAACAGTTTACTGCAAAAAAGCCTGAAGGGAATGATTATACTCAAAAGAACAAATACAATAAGCTCAATGAAGTGGTCTGGGTGCCAGGCCCCTCTAGGGTTAACCCTGCCTGCTGTAAACATAGCAGTTTCAGAGAAACTGCTATGTTTACATTTGGGGTTAAGCCAGCCTCTAGTGGCTGTCTTCCGGACAGCCACTAGAGGTGCATCTGCGACGCTGGAGGCATTTAATGCCTCCATCACGCAGAGCGTCCATAGGAAAGAATTAAAAAATGCTTTCCTATGGACACTTTGAATGCGCACGCAGCACTGCAGCGCATGTGCATTCCGCTCCGCTGACGTCAGATGGGGGAGCTGACGTCGGAGGGGGAGGAGAGGTAAGGGAGCCCGGCGGTGGAAGAAGGTGAGCACCACAGGAGGGGCACCCTCAGGGTACTATAGTGTCAGGAAAACCGATTTGTTTTCCTGACACTATAGTGATCCTTTAAGTAACCTGTCACTTCCCCCCCCCCCCTAATATGTCTGCAATGTATCCTTTAAAATAAAATGACGCCATCTTCAGTGCCCTATAAAGTGATGTAGTGTCAAGCAAGCCTTTTTTTCACTCACAGCGGTAACTAGTGAGAGAGGAACTTGGGGTAGACACGTGCATACCTGCAACCCAATGTCCAATGTCTTATTTAAAAGGAAAAAAAAACTTCTCAGTCTCTTTATCATATAGAGATTAACTTTACAAGCATCAACTCTCACTCAGCAATTGTTTTTAAGAGAGATGATTGGGAATAAATCATCTCTCCCAATCACAATCTCACATGCCACAATGTCCTCAGTGTTCTGATTCCAGATTTTAAAAAAAACTAAATTTCTTACTGCAACTTGGTAAAAAAAAAAAAAAAAATAGCAAACCTATACATGAAAGACAATGCTACAAAATAATATTTAGTCTATAAAGGCTCACTTCATTTACACTCCAGGGATGCTTACCAGATACATTTCTCTGCCAGGTACTCATTCCACCAATTTAATGTCTGCAAAGGTCCCGAAAATGACAGCCTCAACCCCCTCCTACCAAACAATAGAGGACATGTATGGCAGACAGCATCCATGTACCACTTACTTGAATACTCTGCGAGTTTGAGGCATGCCCATGTCGAGCACAGCAGAAGGCCCAGATGTTCTGCCACCACCTGTGGTGGGTGGTCTTCCAGCAAGGTGGCCGATGCTTCTTAGTAAGTCTCTTTAAGACCCTCTGCCCAGGTAGGCAGTCAGCATGGATAGCTAGCGTAGGAGTAGAGGCTTTGACCAAAAGAGGCCATCTCAGCCTTCCCTCTCCGATCATCATTACTTTCCTCTGCATGGGTTGTTGCTGGCATGGTAGATAGGCCTCTTATGCCTAGTTGCTTGTACCCCAGATTGGCAGTACGTGCAGCTTCCTCAGTGGCGACCGGGATAACCCCACGCCATCCAAAGGGTGTGTGGGGGGGAGGAAGGGGGGACAGGACCAGGATGGTGTCATATAAGTTGCCATTGCACAGCAGCTGGACCAGTTAGCGAAGCAGCGGCCATCTACTTCCAGGTAGGCTGCAGTCCCAAAGTGCTCGAGTCACTCTCCTGGACCCAGAATCACCCGATATCAAGCGCTCGATCTACTCCGGGAAACAGCAAGAACTTGTACGGTACTTTTCCGACAGTATGCCAGCATATAAATGTGAGTTTTTACCCTGAAAAAGCATAATTCTTCAGGAGCTACAGTGACTTGCAGCCGGCTAGCATGGCTGCCCAGCCCCGCCCCCATATTTTTGCTACAATATAGTGGTATTTCATCTCGTATATCAAATGTTGCAAAACATAAAGGTTACATTTCATTCTCCTATATTTCTGTAAAGGATGAATGACAAATAGAAATCATATATATTTGCATAATTATAATTTTTATATTTAAAAAATACTTTTCTACTTATTCTGTCTGCACTATTGTTGTATAGAAACATAGAATGTGACGGCAGATAAGAACTGTTCGTACCATCTAGTCTGCCCAATTTTCTAAATACTTTCATTAGTACCTGGCCTTATCTTATAGTTAGGAAAGCCTTATGTCTATCCCACACATGCTTAAACTCCTTCACTGAGTTAACCTCTACCACCTCAGCTGGAAGGCTATTCCATTCATCCACTACCCTCTCAGTAAAGTAATACTTCCTGATATATTTAAACCTTTGTCCTTCTAATTTAAGACTATGTCCTCTTGCTGTGGTAGTTTTTCTTCTTTTAAATATAGTCTCCTTCTTTCGTGTGTTGATTCCCTTTATGTATTTAAATGTTTCTATCATGTCCCCCCTGTCGCGTCTTTCCTTCAAGCTATACATGTTAAGGTCCTTTAACCTTTCCTTGTAAGTTTTATCCTTCAATCCATGAACCAGTTTAGTGGCCCTTCTCTGAACGCTCTCTAAAGTATCAATATCCTTCTGGAGATATGGTCTCCAGTAATGCGTACAATACTCCAAGTGAGGTCTCACCAGTGTTCTGTACAATGGCATGAGCACTTCCCTCTTTCTACTGCTAATACCTCTCCCTATACAACCAAGCATTCTGCTAGTATTTCCTGCTGCTCTATTTCATTGTCTGCCTACCTTTAAGTCATCAGAAATAATCACCCCTAAATCCCTTTCCTCAGATGTTGAGGTTAGGACACTATCAAATATTCTATACTCTGCCCTTGGGTTTTTACGTCCACGATGCATTATCTTGCACTTATCCACATTAAATGTCAGTTGCCACAACTCTAAACATTTTTCTAGTTTACTTAAATCATTTGCCATTTGGTTTATCCCTCCTGGAACATCAACCCTGTTACATATCGTAGTATCATCAGCAAAAGGACATACCTTACCAGCAAGACCTTCTGCAATATGACTAATAAAAATATTAATTAGAATGGGTCAAAGTACAGATCCCTTAGGTATCCCACTGGTGACAAGCCCATGCTTCGAATATACTACATTGATTAGAACCCTCTGCCACTGCCTTACCCATTCAACAGTATTGGAATCCAAACTTAAAGATTGCAATGTATTGATAAGCCTTCTATGTGCAACAGTGTCAAAAGCCTTAATGAAATCTAGGTAAGCAATGTCTACTGCACCACCCTGATCTATTATTTTAGTTACCCAATCAAAAAAATCAATAAGATTAGTTTGGCATGATCTCCCTGAAGTAAACCCATGTTGTCTCTCATCTTGAATCCATGTGATTTTAGATGTTCAACAATCCTATCATTTAACATGGTTTCCATTACCTTCCCCACTACTGAACTAAGGCTTACTGGCCTATAGTTGCCCGACTCCTCCCTACTATCTTTCTTGTAAATGGGCACAACATTCGCTAACTTCCAACCTTCAGGGACTACTCCTGTTAACAATGATTGGTTAAAGAAATCTGTTAATGGTTTTGCTAGTACACCACTAAGCTCTTTTAATAACTTTGTGTGTATCCCATCAGGTCCCATTTACTTATTTATCTTTACTTATGACAGTTGAAATAGAACCTCGTCCTCTGTAAACTCACATGTAACAAATGACTAATTTGTCCTTTTTCCTGAGGCCCATTTCCTTAATTTTCATCTGTAAATACTGAACAAAAATATTCATTGAGGCAGTCAGCTAGACCTTTATACTCTTCTACATACCTTACTTCTTTTGTTTTTACGCTAACTAATCCTTGTTTTACTTTCCTTTTCTCATTTATGTATCTAAAACATGTTTTGTCCCCCTTTTTTATTTTACTGACTGTGCTATTTTCTCTTCTGTGTGTGATTTGGAAGCTCTTATAACTTGCTTAGCATCTTTCTGCCTAATCTTATAAATCATTCTATCTTCCTCACTCTGGGTTTGTTTATAATTACTAAATGCTAACTTTAACTTTTTTAGTATTTTGGCCACATCTGCAGTGTACCACAGTTGTTTCTTGAATTTTTTGCTTTTACTGACAAACCTAATGCAATTTTCTGTTGCCTTCAGCAGTGCAACTTTTAAATAATCCAATTTTTCTTGGACTCCATTTAAATTGCTCCAGTATGATAATTCTATGATAACTCCTTTACACATATTCTAATTTTGAGAAAAGTCTGTTTTACTAAAGTCTAAAACTTTAGTTTTTGTGTTGTGTGACTCAGTCAAATCTACATTCAAGTCAAATCTTCGTTATCAGTTGCCATTATTGCCACAAGTTCATGGATCTTATTCCCTAAACCAGTGTTTTTCAACCTTTTTTGGGCAAAGGCACACTTGTTTCATGAAAAAAATCACGAGGCACACCACCATTAGAAAATGTTAAAAAATTTAACTCTGTGCCTATATTGACTATATATAAAGTAATTCTCTTTAATAGGAATCAAATAAACACAAAGAAAGTATTTTATAATTACTTTATTATGAAATAGTAAGTAAACAGAAATATGAAAAATTATAAAATACTTTATTCAGTGCGCAACCTGGGCCTGTTTGGCTGAACACAAAGCTGATATTCTGGCTGGAATCGAAGAAAGACACACACGTAGCTCTTCGTCAACAGCTCTCAGTCTCTCTCTGTATTTAGTTTTTATAGCAATCATGCTTGAAAAGCTCATCTCACACAGATATGTAGTGGAAAATGGGAGCAATGTCAAAATAGCTTTGTTTGCCAGAAGGGGAAACCCCTTGGCAGTATCCAACCAAAAATTGTCCAAAGGTAGATCAGCAAATCTTAGCTTGAAACCACAATTTTGTCTCAGTTCAGTTAGTTCTTCCTGCTCCTGTAAAGTCATGTCCTTTCCACCAACTGATGCTGAGCTATAAGGGTTTCTAACCCAGTCAAGGCATTCAGTGGAGACTGAAGAGAAATAAAATGACAACTTCTCCTCGAGAGTTTTTAAATGTTTAACTATTATCTCACACAGTGCAGCAGTGTGAACACCTTGCCATTGCTTGGTGAGTGTGAACATTTCAAGATTGCCACTTTCCACGTGTTGATGCCAGAGTTGCACCTTTGAACGGAATCCATTTATTTTATCTGTACTTGTAAGCAGGTTTTCATTTCGGCCTTGCATTCGTGTGTTCAGTTCATTCAGATTATGAAATATATCTGCCAGGTATGCCAGCCTTGCACACCACTCATCACTTGCAAGCAGCTTTGCGTAATCTGACCTCACATTTGTCAGAAACACTTTAAGTTCCTCCCGCAGCTCATACACACGAACCAAGTCCTTGCCACGCGACAACCACCGGACTTCCGTATGAAACAGCAAGGTTTTATGCTTCGCTCCCATCTCCTCACACAAAGCTGCAAATATGCGACTTTTCACGGGTCGTGACTTT